CGATTTCCATGTCGACCGGGGGTACATGATGCGTGAGGTTGATGCAATTTTTCGAAGTTACGTCAGAACTGGGGCTCTTTCCGAAAGTTGGGCTAGAGGTCATATCAGTGCCCTTATCACGAATATGAGTTTCTTCTAGCGCCGGCTCCATTGGCCCGTTTCTTTGAAACTTTTCGGTGCATGTTGAGGTATCTCAGTCTCAAAAAACACACCTAGGTTTCTCTTCGTGCTGCTAGGGTGTTTTTCGAAGCCAAAATTTTGCCCAAAGTCAAATATGACTGACCACTGCTTGTGAAAATTCTTTCAAGCACGAAAAAACGATCAACGATTCCCACTCATATTGTTCAAAACCTTGAGCTGCAATATTTGATCTCTGAGGCCTTTCCACTTATGGTTTCAGCGCTTCCACGACTGTGATGGAGGACTGAATGTGATCTGACCCGCCGAGCAAACAATCAGTACTGGTGTGCGCCCTGACTTGAACTCTGCTGCTATGACTCCAAGATTGAGAAGGTTCTTGAATCCTTGTTAACAGAGCATTTTACTAAAAGATGTTTTCCAATAACACTGTGAGAAGACGACCGTGGTTGGTAGCTGATGGACAGCTGAGGGTGACTTCGAAACCAGACATCCACCGAAACAAAGTCATATTTTGTATGGTGATACAGTGTAGCAACGGTGTATCAAAAAGTACTGATTGTGGATTTTGCAATTACAGCTGAAACCACACGTCCTGGTCTGCCACCGTTTGGCTATCTGCTTGTCTCAGGTCAGTACACTTCTTACACAAAATTATTCGAAAAGCCGCGCGACGACGTTAAAATTTAGGTGCCTAACTTCTTCGAGTCGGACCAGAAAGAGTTCCACGCGGTAGGCATCCATGGTTTGCGTAACAAATGGTGATGGTGTTCTGGTAAACCCCAGAACCCGCACTCTCTTTGAAGTAACGTATTTAGCCCTTGCTTGACCTCGTTGATATCAAGAGGCACGCCCAGATACTACGGAATTCTACTGTACACATTCTACATTGAACACCTGGTCGCAACGAAAGTCCTGGCGCATTTTTTCAAAGTCCTGACAAACGGCTGCGCATTAACCTGGAGGGGAAATTTTTTAACCATATATAGGAATGGTGATATTCCTTCATATTCTCGAGTCTCACCTCCTGCACGCTTTTTGGAGCCTGGAAAATGCCATAAGTTTCTACCCATGTACGCCACTGACTTCTTTGCGAATTTTGTCTGGGACACACAGCGAGCGAAGCCTGCCGCAAAATATGCTCTGTGGAAGTAGAGGGAGTGGTAAGTGAAAAAACCTGCCAACTTTGGTTCAGAAGGCTCCGCGAAGGAAACTACAACCTCGAAGATGGACGCCCAACGAAAGTTAATTTCGAACGTTTGGAGCTGTTACTTCAAGACTTTCCGCATGCAAGCGCCAAGGAGCTGGCAAAGGAGATGCAGTGCTTCAACATGGCCACAGGTCGTGTTCACCACAAGCTGGAAAAAGTTAAGAAACTTGGTCGATTGATCCCTCATGAGCTGACAGAGCATTGCAAGAAAAGAGGTATCGGGGTGTGCAGAGGTTTTCTTGCAAGGAGTCGCCGTTTCGACTGGTTGGATAATGTAATTACTGGAGATGAAAGGTGGGGGCTCTACCTATGTCATACCAGAAGAAGACAGTGAATGGGTGCGAACCAGAAGCCAGAGCCTGTTCCAAAGCAGGAGGTTCATCCCAAGAAAGTTCCTCTGTCAGTTTGGTGGAGAGTTCGGGGAACACGTCATTACGAGATGCCAGACAATACCATCGTCGACGCCGAGGTGTACTGCTCACAACCACGAAGGCTCGCAGTTGAAGTCGCGAAACTTCGCCCTGAGATGGACGAAGTTTTCTTCTTCATGACAGAGCGGCGACCGCATGTTGCAAGAGGTAACCCAGGACACATTGGCGGAACTTGGATCTGCGGTTTTACCCCATCCTCCATATTCGCCAGGTCTTGCGCCTACGGATTACCACCCACTCCTTTCCCTGGCTCACTTCTCAAAGGATAAAAACTACGACAACTTTCAATAGTTGAAAGCGGACATGGGCACTTCTTCGACTCGAAGCCTGCCGAATTTTGAAGGAGAGGCATTTGTTTCCTTGTCGACCGATGGCGGACTGGTGTAAGTGCTTGTGGGAATTATTATTAGGAATAAAGTTCAATTCAAAGAAAGATACGAGTTTTTGAAATTGAGGGTCGAATCCGCCATTACTTTCGTTGCGACCTGATAGGTGAATGAATTGTAAGCCTATAATAGCTTACACAGCATTCTGCGGGAGCCGTAATACTCCCAAAGAACCAAAGGCGCCACCCTTCCGCCTAAGTCACCACAGATGAGCCAGTGTCGCAGGTGAAGATGTTCAAGTCGATGTGCTTCGTTATTGTTTTTATGATGAAAATAATTTATGACCGAGTAGGACACTTCGATTTAGCCAATTAATAAATATTTTGGTACCATTGGTACAAGCGCGATTTTGTGCAATCTCTACGCGCCAAGAATGGCACCGTCAAAACAGACACACCATTGACAATTGCTGATAGCACAGGACCCGACAGCGCTTACGAAATTTCCCCACACTCTTTAGTAATAGCATGCAACACCCTTTTATGACCCAATTTTATGTGGTCTGTACACTGTTCGAGAAGACTTTTATTATGGAAACATGAACACAATGAATTATGACGCCATGAACGAAAGACATGGCGTTAAACGTGTGACAACCGCAATTCCTCGGAATGATTTCATCATTTTTTAGCATTCGAAAGGCCATTTCGCGAAATGGACCATAGCCTGTGTTTCATGTTCGTACTCCTATGTCTGATTTAAAAAGCGTGGCCCGCCTAAACAGCCTCCCTTGTGTGCTGAATCACCCAAAGAGGCACCGAAATTCCAAACTCAAGTCTAAAAGGATATTTTTGGAAAGCTTCGTCTGTATTTCGGTGATCACCACCTTCTTCAGGCCTGAAATCATTCATTATTGTGTTTGTAGGGTTTTATGCTTTCCTAACCGACACCTAAAAATTAGTTAGCCATCCTCCCCACATACAATGTCCGCAATGTCATCACGTCCCACTATTTGAGCAGAGGGTGACAGGAACTCATTTCGTCCCTTCTCGAAGAACTTCGCGAACTTCGTAAGGGTAGCCATGAAACTATAGCAGAGTTAAGTCATTGCACAGGGGTGGCCAAAAAAGGTAACTTCTTCCCCCATTTTAGACAGCATGAATCAATCTGCTTAACTCAAGTTGACTGCTCCCAACTTGTTATTGGAAAGCGCATCCCGGTTTATTATAGACTTTATAAAGCCTTCTGCACCAACGACATCCCAAGAATTTGCTTCGGGGACCCTGTGCACGGTTCGAGCACAACGTGGTCCTTGACGGATACGACATTATCTGAAACTCTAGTTGGAGGTCTCGTATATTCAGAGATAAGGAAGCAATCTATCAGTGACCCGATTAACAAAGTTCGTAGCAGCTTCAGGCTGGAACGATTACGGTAGGCCTTCTTGAGCTCAACGGTGATGGAAGATGACGTCATATTTTGAGGACGGTGAGGCAGTGGAGGAGGGCCTGCTTCTACTTATGGGAGGACATCTAAGGATATTTTGCCGTAAAACTTATCAACTTATCAACGTGCGACGTTTGTGAAGTTTGATGATATGCGCCATGGGCAAAGGGTCTCTTTTTTAGCCACCCCTGTAGTTTGGAAAGCAGAAACCCATGCACAACCATAGTCAATGCATTTAAGGTCTGAGGAAGGTGCTTACACCGTAATATAGCTCAATGTCCTCAAAGAAATCTTCTAGACCTAGTTTCAGAGTTTTTTAAATCTGTTAGAGCTCTTTTGAAATAAACATTTTGGTGCCTCTTCGAGTAACTTGCCATTCAAATCCTAATGAGGCCCCGAAACAGTGTAATACTGTAGCTAATTAATTTCTGTCTCGCGGGTAATTGAGCTCGAACTTCTTTGGCATAGTGAACATTCCAAATATTTGATGTGCATTACTTGGGAAAAAGGCATTTCCATGCTTACGCGTTCAGTTTTTCATGAGTATAGGTCAATAATGAAGAAGTTTCTGAAATTTTCGCCGCTACCGTAATTGACAGCATCGTACAGGTGTCGACCTCATGACAACTCAACTCCTGCTTCTCGTCTTAGCAGCATGTGTAGGCGTCGATGCCTTTTTGACGTAAGTTCTCTTTGCTCAAAATTGAACTGCTATTTTTCTGAATTCAACCGTTTGAGTTTGCCCTTGTACCGAGGCAAAACCGTCAAGCGACAGAGATCTCCGATCATGAGAACCACTCCGAAACAATCGACGAACACAGATGCCCAAGGATACCACTCGAATAACGGATACAGGGAACAGCTTACCAACTACCAGGATGTGAGATGCCGCAATGAGTGCCCATATGGCTCTAAACTTCTTGAAAATCCTCATTATTCAGACGCAATACTACGGCGACGTTCAAGTTGGAACTCCTCCACAAACATTTAGAGTTTTGTTTGACACCGGGTCTTCCAATATGTGGGTCCCATGCGCGAGCTGTGACCAATCAAATGCTGGTTGTCGTGAACATCGAAAAGTGAGTTGCAGAGTACGATTTTCGGTACTCAGTGATCCGAATGTGCTTTCAGTTCCATTGTGAACTATCGACGACTTGCTACCAAACGTCCGAACCTTACACGGAATCGTATGGAACCGGATCAGTGTCCGTTAATGGATCCATGATTTACGATGTTGTCTGTGTGAGTCTCTATAACCTCCCTTGTAATGTGTGATGCGAAAGATTTGCTTCACCTCTTTGCAGTTTGGAACCGATCAGACGTATTGCACCAACCAGTATCAAGGACTAGGTTGCCTCAGAGATTTACCCGTAAGCTCGTCCTTGTACCTTGGGAGATGAGCTCCAGATGAGGAATACAAAATTTCAGGACAACAAATTCGACGGCCTTCTTGGTATGGGATGGGGATGGAACTCAGTGAACAACATTCCTCCACCCATGGCCCAGATTTTCGCCAATAAGGTCACTTTGAAAACAAAATGGAGAGGTGCATACTTGCGCAATGACCACGTTCAGGAGCAGACTTCCTTGGGCAATGTTTCGTAACTGAATGAAGTGGGTCCTCTCTTCAACCATCTGGCCATAGCGTCGCTGAACCTGGTTCATCCTGTGACGCCATCCAAAAAAATTCAAAACAGTACGAAAAAGTGGGACACATATACAAATGCTGAAGCATCAGAAACTTCCAAACATCCGAATGCGTAAAAACGTTTTCAGCTCCCTAGAAACTTTTCGCGTGTCGACATCGGTGCCCTGCAATTACGAAGCCTTTTTTGGATCCTGATCGAGTCGTTCTGATCGGGATCAACAAAAACAAGACATTTACAATTCTCATCATAATCTCAAAAAATTGAGCTATATTGGGCACTGAACTGATTGCTGATCGTTTCATGAATATAGACATGCTCAAAATCTAGTAACTTGCGATAACTCCTCAACAGTCAACTGTCCTCCATGCTTAGGAATAATCATGAAAATCTGGCATGGTTTAATTGTTCAGCGTTTTACATCCAAACGGCGCCACTCTTCGAAAGATTGCTACTTTGAGACCGGTCAGAACTCCTTCTGACTGTAGATATCTCAATTTGAAACGCCTCAGATGTTCTTTATAGAGCCTCTATGTGAGACGTGGAGGAGCTTTTGTTGCTTTTGCTCTTTACCGCTCTTACCGTCGGCAAAAAATTGCTGACAAATTTGCTCGAACACTTCTTACTTCTTACTTCTCGAGCGCTATTCGTCTCAGACCAGAAACGCAGGTCGCACATCTTCCAGGCCGCTCTGCTTCGGGCTCTTCTGCGCCACAGCTGGCCGTACAATTTCACGAGAGGGTCTGCCCATCGGGTGGGGGTCTGCCTCTGGGCCTTGTTTTCCCCTTGGGTACCAGTCAGTCACTCTCTTCGTCCAGCGATTATTGGTAAGTCTAGCCACTCCTGGCCTTATTGATTATTGGCCAGTCTCCACTCCATGACCGGCCCACCCCCGCTTGGAACGGTATGGCATCGACGGCGTTCTTCACCGTTCGCACGAGCGCGAATGGTGTCATTGGGTATATGGCTCGGAGCGTTACATCGCACATGGCTTTGCGATCTACGTGTTTAGAAGTTAGTACATCTCGAAGCTTTATTGAACGGTCCAGCCCGCTCTGCGGCGTCTGGCTAATCTCGAGCGTGAGATCGTTATTCATGTTGACCGCTTTACCGAGATATACGTAAGAGGAGACTCGCTCGATCTCCTGGCCTTCTAGGAGGATCGGCTGGTACTGAACTTGTTCGTTGTGCATCCACTGAGTCTTGCCGGGATGGAATTTGTAGTCCGATTTTGCCGGCTTCTTGCCTGATGAGGCTCGAAAAGGAGATGCTTTCAAGCGCAATAGCGAACAAGTTCGGGGATGTAACCTCGCCTTTTCTGACGCAGCGCCGGATTTGGACACGAACCGGTGTTTTGATGATGGCCACTAGCACACTGTGCTCGAACACGGTCCAGTTGAAGAATTTGAAGCAATTCGTCTAACCCTAGGTGCTGCTTGCTCAACCAGCTTTCTTAGAATGTCTTAGGGCCGGATGACTCCGAGTAACGTAATGTCGTCGACAACTTTTGAGAAACCACATTGCTGGGTACGTTTTGATATGCCTTCTGTGCGCAGGAGCGAACCTAGTTTCCTCCAGACCTCTACTCTAGATAGCTAAGAACCTCATGACATTCATCAGTAACAAGCCACTCCGATGGCAACCCATATGGACTGACAGTAAACAAGTGCCTGCCATTCACTGATATCATAATTTTGTTGGATACATTCGATATCAAGGAGATAATTAGGGAAATATATAATTCTAAACATCGTCGCCCTTCACCTTAGCTGCATTGCTCCATGTCTGCTAGACCGGTCCATGCCAATCTGGGAGGCCGGTTCCAGTATCCCTCTTTTGAGTTCGTCCTTCTCCGCTCAATGCGGCATCCACCAACCGAATTCTCCGCTTGGTTCTTACACTTCTCTTTCTAAGGGGATCTATGGCAAGGCGTGCCGAATCATGAAGTTGCTCCCCTGCGGAGGAATTCTAGCAATGGAGCAACTTCATGTTCTTTACATTTCTGAGTGATGCTCTTATTGTGAGCACATAGCCGATTTTCTTCTCTTTTCCCACATAGATTACCTTTTGACTCTCATTTTTCCGCGAGCAACGCACTGCAGACCGCCAGATTCCGGGTTGTGACCAATACAGAATCCTCTTTCCCTCTGTTCCTTACCCCTGTTTCTCTACCTCGTGCACTCCTTCAAAACCTATTTTCACTGCCGACGTGAACATCCGAATCACCTGTTATGTTGAATAGTCGCTCTCTCGGATCGATCCCATAGCATCGCCGAGGCTTAGAAATCATCGTTGTCACCTTCAAAGCAAGCTTGTGGAGTGTACACAGACTGTCCAGTACCCCTCCTTGTCCATGCACACGGCCATGATTCGATCGTAGGTTGTGTTCAGAGACATAGTCCTTGAGCGACTCTGCTGCTGCTATGGCCATTCCGCTCCGTCTAGTTCCTTTTCCATAAAGTGATTTGCTACCTTACCCTATTCTTAGTTTCCTTCCATAGGTCTCCAGAAGTTGTAAAGGCTTGAACTTTTTGCCACAACATCAATCATCATCCTATCAGGACTTCGTTTAGCGATCCTACGTTCAGAGTCCCAATTCGAACTAGCTTCTTTGGCCGAGGCCGTTCACTCCTCGGTAGCCCTCGCATACTGACCACAGAACTCGGGCGGGGGTTCTGCGCGCCACTTCCGGGTGACGTCCTAGCTTTATCACTGATTCTTTTAGACATGATTGTGTGACGGGGGTTTTCATCAGCCGGCCTGTCAAAATGGACGTGACCCTACTACAAAAAGATTTTTGCAACTTATGCAGGGCATGGGCGGAAGTGGTGTAGTGGCAAGTGGCACGCTTACCACGCGGTCCGGGGATCAAATCCTGGGTCGTGAGTCGCCCGGGCCAACCAAGCCTTCCATCCCTCCGGGGTCGGTTAATTGGTACCAGACTTGTCTGGGAGGATAAAAACACTGACTTGTACATCGGCCCCCGCAAGTCATTGTATAGGCCACATCGCATTCAAACGCCACTACGAATGTACAAATGGAAGTAGAATGCGTGCCGCATCCCAAAAGGGATTGATCAACGGCAAATGCTTTATCCTTATCTTTTATGCAGGGCATGTTCAAGGTTCGGTAGGGATTGATCTAGCGGCACTCGGAGGTGCAGGCGTAAGCCTATACTGTAACTACTCGGCCATCCTGCCCCTATCTGCATAAGGTTGACTACGGAGAAAGTTATGCGCATATGAATGTTGAAAATTTCATGTGCACGAAAAAAGAGAACAATGGAGGATTTTGTGTGGAATTGATCATATGCTACATACAGTTCAAATACTCCATAAAAAACAGTTCGAGTTTTTGAAATTTTATTCTGTAATCTCGTCGCGTAAGAAGCGCAACTAGAGAAGGGGTTCCGTTTCAGTTCCTAGAAAAGGAAGATTTAGAGTTCAAAAACAGCTTTGGCATGTTTCTGAAGGAAGAGCTACGTACGATTTCAATCATATCTAGCAAGAAAAGAATCTCGGGGCGCCGTGACCACAAAAGATGCACGCGTAGATGTGACCTCGATGCTATCTCAAATGTACCTTCCAAATCTCTGATTTTCTGAAGGGATTATGAAGAAAAGCAGCGCCGATAGTAGACAGGACTCACTCAG